CAAGTGTAAAAAGCTGGTCTCACGGGTCTCACGAAAACAGGCTGGTCTCACGTATCCCTGATGCATGGTTGCATAACTGCCTGGTCCATGTGCTTGGGATTTCAATTGTTCACTTGAGTCGTTTAGCTCAAACATGATCTATAAAAGAAGTCCACACGTAAGAAACACAATGTACGTAATTGCATTATGTATACTAATACTATTGGCCAATTTATATATACTCACGTGGTGCGAGAACCAGTTAGCAAACCTCTCCTCCCGGATTATATCAAGTTCAACATCATCAATATTCGGTTCTGTTTGTCAAATTTTTTCATCAAAGATCTACTAGAAAGGTTAAACTTCTACACAGTTGAACAAAACATATTTATGGATTAGTCTCCAAGTCATGGTCATTTAAGATTATTTGTTTCCCACCATTCGCGACTAGTGGACGAGATGGAACATTGAATATGCTTAATCGATCGTCGGTCTTCAAACAACTAGGGATATTTGGGGCAAATCTCCTTGACTCACAATTATGTCTTGTTTCTATTATTGGATCAAAATAGAGGGAGCAATAGGTTGGAAGTTTATTTACAAGGTATGACTCAATGATAGAGCCCTCAACCCTTGCATTGTTTCGAACTGTTCTCTTCAACAACCCAAGCTTTCTAAATAAGCGATGAAATATGTGTTAGGGACAAAAAGAGTGTTTTACATGAATATATTGTACTAGATTTTAGTAAAATTAGGGACTTACCTTTCATTGAGATATATCTACCTAGATTGGACCGGACCACCGTTTATAGCTTCACGTGTCAAATGTATCACGAGGTGTTCCATTGAATTAAAGAATCTGGGTGAAAAGACCTTTTCCAACTTGAAAATTGTTTGAACAATACTTGTTTGCAATGAAACCAAGTCATCTATGTGTAACACCATTGAACATATCACACAGAAAAATATGCACAACCCCGTTATTGCATCTCATATTGAAGTTGGTATCATCCCTTGTAAAGCAATATGAAGAAATCATTGCATAAACACATGACAATCATAACTCTTGAAGCTACAAAAGTTAGAATCTTCTAGGTTCACACAACTCGCTATATTCTAAGCATACCCGTCTGGAAACTTCAACTTTTTCAACCATACACACACTTGTTTTACTTGCTGTTTGCTCAAACTGTACGATGACTTTGGTTCACTACTTTGTTACTTGACATGGCAATGTGCAAATCGTCGATCGCAATGAATCTCTACATCCCTCCGCGCCTTTACATTGTCTTTAGTTCTTGATGTATCCATGACGGTGTTAAAGAGATTTTCAAAAACCTTCTTCTCAATATGCATGACATCGAGGTTGTTTCGAATCAACAACGTCTTTCATTATGGAAACTCCCAAAATATGCTTCTCTTTACCCAATTATGAGTGGTTCTGAACCCACTAATTTTTCTATATTTTTAACTATACGGGAAGCCCTCATAAACAGTTGGAAGGTGACGRATGAACTCCCAGATCTCTTCATCGATTACCTCAGGTGGTGGACCGACTAACACCCTGTTACCTGCCATAAATCCTTTTCTATCATGATGGAAGAGGTATGTTCTAGGTAACCATCTTTGATGACAATTAAACCAACAAGATTTCCCTTCATTTTTTAACTGGAAGGAATCCACCTACCCCATGCAATAGGGGTAGGCTAACTTGTCATGCATGTTCCAACCCAACAACATTGCATAAGTTGGGAAGTCACTGAAGGTCCATAGTAGTATAGCTCTCATCTTGAAATTATTCTTGCGATACACATCGTACATAAGAACGCCTTCTGTATACAACATCTTTAGATCATATATTAGTGGTCTGAGAACTACATCTAAATTCTGATTGGGGCTCTTTCTACCAAGGATGACCAATGCAAGCTCAACATACGAATCTTTCAAAGCCATCCAAGGAGGTAAATTATAGATGGTAATAAATATGGGCCATATTGAATACAAATTAGAAGTTGAATTATTCAGGTAGAAACCGTTAGTGCATAACCTAAAACGAACATTCAGAAGCTCAAAAGCAAAGACAGGATCCCTCATGTTGAAATGCGTACAAGTCGCACCATCACTTGGATGTACCATCTCACTCAGTTTCGCTCGATGATCTTAATGACAAATCATCTCTTTCGCGGTCTTTGGAGACATATACAATCTTTAGAGTCATGGAACAATACGTCAACACTAAGTTTGGGACCTTCTTTCGTCAACTGGTCTTGTAACGACTTTCATTGCATACTCGACAGTGGGTCAACACAAAATCATGCTTGTAAAATAGCATGCAATGGTTTTTGCAAGCATCGATCTTTTGTTTTGGCAGGCAAGATTTCTCAAATTCTTCTTTATCTCATAGAAGTTACAGGGTAGTTTATCACCCTTAGGTAGCATCCGCTTAAAAACGGGAAGCATTCTATAATATGTCATCTCGGGTACATTACATTCCTCCTTCCAATACAACAAACTCGTCGAAATTCCTAATTTTGAAAAAGTTTGACACCGATTCCATAAAGGCTCATCAATAGATTGTAACATGTTATAAAATCCCTGGGTAGAAGGATTAGGTGTTTGCTCTTCCCATGTCATGGCATCGTACCATGTGATCGTTCACCATTAGGAAATAACCTTCATTTTGATCCACTACAGGA